TGGATAAATTACCCTATGCTAATTGCCATGATGTTTGGGAGACAAAGTTAAGCCTATTGTTTTCTCAGGCCAAGAGGCTACTGGAAATGTATAAAAACCCTGGGTATGAAAAATCTTTCTTCATCTCAGATCTGCTTTGAGTTTCAAGAAGGGGAAACCCTAAGCCATAAGAATTGAGATCCCCAGTCACTGACTGGAGTCACCCTGAATATGGACATTGGACTATAACCTGTGGACTATTTCTAAAAGGACTTTTGGCAACTACCCGAACCTCAAGAATTGAATTCAAGTTTGTATGTATATTGATCTTTTAATCAACACACTACACTCTCTCTTTTCTTTTTTAATAAATTTTAGTTTAGTTAATAAGAATTGGTTATAAGCGTGTATTTTGGGTAAGATCTAAGTTATCATTTGACCCGGGTCTGGGGCTTGGTCCTTTGGGATCAGGAGAACCTTTTTTCTTTTATTGGGGTATTGGTTTTCATAACCAGTCGTCCCCATAAGGAGCAGTGCTGGTGGCATACTGGGAAACTGGAATGTCTAAGGCAGGAGTGGTCAACCTAAGCCTGAGAAGGATCCAGAATTTACCAATGTACATTGCCAAAGAGCCACAGTAATACGTCAGCAGCCCCCCATCCCCTCCCAGTGCCTCCCACCAGCCCCCAACAATCAGCACTTCCTCCCGCAAACCTCCCCCCCCTCACCACAATCAGCTATTTCACAAGCGCAGGAGGCTATGAGGGGGAAGAGGGAGGAGCGAGGGCATGGCAGGCTCAGGGGAAGGGATGGAGTGGGGACAGGGCTTGGAGCAGAGCAGGGGGTTGAGCAATGAGCACCCCCCAGCACATTGGAAAGTTAGCATCTCTAGCTCCAACCCCGGAATCCGTGCCTAGGTAAGGAGCTGCATATTAACCTCTGAACGGCTCCAGAGCCACGGGTTGGCCACCCCTGGTCTAAGGGAATTGCTTGTGTGACTTATGGTTAGCCAGCAGGGTAAAGCCAAAGTCTCTCTGGCTGGTTTGGTGCCTTAATAATAAAGACACCCAGCCTTGGGCTGTAACTGCCCTGCTCTAAGCAATTTGTCCTGAATCGATACTCTCAGTTGTGTCCTACCAAAGGCAGCATCGTTACATGCCGGTATAATCCGCATCCGGACTAGGAGCGCCCTGTTGGTATAACATAGCAGTATACCTATACTGGTAAAGCTCCCTTTGTAGACACGACCTGCATCCACACTTGTACTGCTTTAATTATACCAGTCTAGTAAACCCAGAACAACTTGTGCCAAGCCCAAGACCATGCTGCTGAGACAGAAGTGGGTTCAAGACCATAGCACCAATCCGCTGTAACCAGTGGTGTTCCTCACAGCTATGAATTATTACAATACATTTATACTTGCAGTCCTGTCTTGTGCTGTGATCCCATCAGACCTAAGAACTGAGCAGTCAGGATGGGTCAGTATTGGGCCGGGAAACCCTCCGGGATACCGTAAAACAGGGGCATCTGGGGCTATGCAGGTGGCACTGTTTCTTCTGAACCAATGCCCCAGCAAGGAAAGTTGTGCCATTGGCATGGGATCATTCCCAGGACGTTCACTGAAGGAACGCAGGGTTGGCTCTGGGGCGCTTGCCCAATTCCAACTCAGGGAGCCACAGTCCCCTTGCAAATCCCAGGGCCTTTTGTTTCCCTTACCCCCACCCAAGTACTGCTGCGTGTCCAGGGAGACCCACCGCCTCCCAGCCATGGGTGGCTGCCCCACTGTGTCATCTGCAAGAGGCTGGGGGCTGGTGGGGACAGGCAGAATCAGCCCTCCTGGATGCCAACCGGTGCTGACACAGACAGGGGAATGGGGCAGCAAATGGCAACCAGAAGCAAGAAAGAAACCGACGCCCCAAGCATGATGTCTCCCCGCCCCCGTACCTGCCCGGTGCTGCAGGGCCGCTCGCAAGGCTCGGCAGGCGGCTCTCCGGACCTCCAGCGTCCCGTCCAGGCGGCCGGGGCTGTAGGCTGCGGCTTGCACCGTGTCCTGCAGCCCGGCCCGGTGCTCCTGGAAGACCTCGCCCAGCAGCGCCTCCAGCAGCGCCGCCGCCTCTTCCTCCTCGCCGGGGCCGGGCTGCACGATCACCCCCACCAGGGCGGCCGGCGGGCCCCGGGGCAGCCGGCTCCGCAGGTCCCGCGCGATCTCCCGCAGGCGGGCCCGGGCCCGCCGCGGCTGCAAGGAGCCGGCCCGGCACAGCAGGAAGATGAGCGGGGAGCGGATCTCCCGGCCGGCGCCGCCGGGGCCGAGGCACACCCGGACCTGGGGAGGCGGCTTCCCCGCGCTGCCCACCGGGCCCCCGGGCCGCTCCCCCGGCTTCCCCTCGCTGCCCGCCTGGTCCCCGGGCCGCTCCCCCGGCGTCCCCTCGCTGCCCGCCTGGTCCCCGGGCCGCTCCCCCGGCGTCCCCTCGCTGCCCGCCGGGCCCCCGGGCTGCTCCCCGAAGAGCTCCTGGGCAAAAGCCCCCAGCAGCGCCCGGGTCTCTCCCCCTTCCAGCACCTCCCCGACCAGCAGCACCTCTGGCTTCCCCCCGACCAGCTCCACCAGGGTCTGGAACTCCTGCAGCGCCTGCTCCCCGGGACCCGGGGACTCCCCCTCCATCGCCCTCCGGGCGCTCCCCGTCTCCCTCTGCAGCGCCGGGCCGGGGCTCCGCGCCTGCCCCGCCCCGGGATCCGGGCACAGCCCGCCCCTCTCCACTTCAGGTTGTTCCCTGGCTTCTTCCCCCGCGGCTCCTGCTCCTAACTCCATGTGGGGTGCAGGGGCGGGGAAATAGGGGCCCAGCACATTTATGACCCACCCGCTTTTGTGGGCAAAAGATCCCCCACCAGCCCAAGGCTTCTAGGATAAGCTGGAACCAAGGGGTGCTGCTGGGGGTCAGGCCTGCCCTGGTTGCAGTCTCCCAATCGGAGCAACAGCCACACCGGGAATAAAAGGAAAATTCAGAAAATAAGAGGTGCCCCAGGGGGGGCATCAATTGAAAGTAATGTTCCATCTAGCCCCCTCTGCTGTCTCCAGTAGTGGCCAGTACCAGAGCTTCAGGGGGAGTGTGCAGAACTGGGTAGTTAAAGCAATCCTCCCCCCTCTTCCTCTCCCGGCAGAGGTTTAGGAGAGTCACCCTGAGCATGGCATTGCATTGCTCACTATCTTGGCTAACAGTCCTCTCCTCAATGAATTTATCTCCTTCTTTTTTTAACCCAGTTGTACTTTTGGCCATCACAACATCCCCTGGCGAGGAGTTCCATAGGTTAATTGCGCATTGAGTGGAGGGAAAATTCTGCTTTGGGAAGCAGAAGCCAGCTGACAATAGAGAAAAGTCCTCTTGCCCCGAATTCTGAGTCCCTCAGACACCAGGAGGAGGAAGAGAGAATGAGAAATGAACAGCACAAGCAACTGCACACAGTACATCAACCCCCTTCCTGCGGTGAATCTTGCCCTGATAACTGAGTGACCCCCCAAGGTTTGTTAGTATTATTATAGTAGAGCTGCTAGAGGCCTCTGTCATGGACCAGGACCCCATTGTGCTGGGCGTTGTGCCAACTCAGAAGGCAAAGATAGTCCCTGCCCCAAGGAGCTTGCAATCAAGGATAATGGATGGATTCAGGCAAATGGGGGAACAGAAGGAGACAATGTCGGTGATAGGCAGTGGTCACCACACACCAGCAGCCTAACTACTGTCAAGTTTTTTGTAGGCCTCCTGGCCTCACAGCAAAGGGGAGTTTTGAGGGATTTGAAGGTGGAGTGTGACTGATACAACCTGACCAGGCGCAGGAGAAAGACTCCTGGGTGTGGGTGTGATGGGACCGGAGGGCAAAGAGGAACATGCCTGACAGGAGAAAGGCAAAGTGCATTAGTTCATCCAGTTGGTGATATACAGTATAGGTGAGTGTGACCTCCTCCTAGCCAAAAGCCTTAAAAGCAACGACTTGCCAAGTTATAGGACACCTTCTAATTGTACCCTAACACCCACACAGCTTAGGTCCACGGACAGTGACAGACCCTGCAGCCTCTTCACAAGCCATTTCCAACAGCGCGATAAACACACAACACATCAATCTCCCTCCCAGCAGAATGCAAATCTCTAATCACAGGGTCAGCAGCATTAGCAAATATTCAGCATTAACACGGGTGTACATGTTCAGCGTGCAGTGTTTGCAGGGCCGGCTCCAGGCACCAGCTGAGCAAGTGGGTGCTTGGGGCGGCAGATTGTTCGAGGCGGCATTCCGCCCAATCCTAGGGCGGCACGGCCGCTTTCTTTCTTGTTCTGCTCCCGCCGCCCTGTAGGGGGCGGCAGCGCGGAGAACCAGAGCACCCTGCAGGGCAGTCCTCTTCCTTCCCTCCCCGCCGACCGGAGCGGAGCCCTCGCGGCAGGAGGCAGTGCAGCGGGAGGGGCCGCGTGGCAGCGCCCCTGCTGTAGCCCTGGCCGCCCCCTTCCTCTCTCTCTCTCCCGCCCGCTCCCTCCCCCCCTCCCCCAGCCGGTCCCCCTACACCCGCGCTCCGGCCACGCCACAGGGTTTTTTTGTTTGGTTTTGTTTTTTGTTTTGTTTTTTTGCTTTGACGTTCTGGCCGCCCCGTTTTTTTTTTGTTTTTTTTTTGCTTGGGGCGGCCAAAAAGCCAGAGCCAGCCCTGAGTGTTTGTGGGGGGAGCACAAAGTCTTACTGAAGGTTTTGTGTTACCAAATATAAAGCCTCAGTTGTGAGCCGGGAAATAACTGTAGTTGAACTTGTCCATGACGGTTGCAGGGGCACACGCTGACCACTAAGCATACAAGGAAGCCCTGTTCACATGAAAGAACATCGAGTGACAAACAGCCAGGGGAGAACGTACCGTGAAGTTTACAAAATGGACAAATGTGTGTCAGCCGGGCTGGGAAAGCAGTGGCATCACAGCCGATGGGATTCTCATGCTGCTTTTCCTTGATAAACAGGGCCACTCACAGGCCTAGTCCCCCTGCAGAAGATGCAATGCTAATAATTTACAGGGCTTCCAGCTGATGGGAGTTACGGCGACACCCAGCACCGTATGTTTAAGGAGCCACATCTGCTTTGCAAAGAATTTGGAATCTATTTAGCCACCAGTGGCTGTGTGCAGTTCTCTTGAACATTAAAGGAACAGGGAATAATGGGAGAGTGGAGCATTTACTTTCACTCCACCGTTATCACCCAGCCAGACACAGACAGGCTAAGAGGAAGAGTCAGGGCAGAGGTTCTCGACCTGGAGATGAAGGTCCCGACCACCCTGCCATTCCCTATTGCTAAATGGGAAGGCAAGTCATGGGGGCTGGGGGGTGTCCCAATATAGACAAGGAGGTCATGCTATGGAAGCGGTTGAGAACCGTTCCTTTAGGGGACTATGTTACATTCTCTCCCTACCAATGACTGGTGCCAGGGAAGCCCACAGCGAGTGTGGTTTGATGATGTGGCTAACTGGGCGGGATGTGGTGTGGCACCCTTCTCTAGGCTGTGTGAAGACAGCAAAACATGGAGAAAGATTGTTGGCCAATGACTCTCCTGCGTTGTGTTCACTGTGATGTGACTTTATGATGCTTTGCACTCTGAGAATAATAATAAAAACGACATAAATTCCTAACATCAGGCTGGCAAAGCCCCAAACTCTTTTAAGGGTACTGCTCCACCTGGAAGACCTGGCCAAGGTGTGAAAGAATCAGTGGTTTAAACATCAGGCTTGAAAGCTCTCAGGTCGCAGGAATCACCCGTTTGGGGAGTGGCAATGACATCCCCCCTTCCTTCCTCCAATGGAGTTCCATGATGTTTACAACAAAAGAAGGGCTGTAAAATGTATGGCTGCTTGTGCACCCTGACCAGCCCCCATTTCAATTTGCAAGCATGCTGGCTGCAGCGCCCCTGCTGAAACAAGGGTTGTGAGCGCTTTGCACCATCACAACTCTGCTCCAAGCATGCTTTCTTCCACAGGGGCTTGCTCCCTGAGTTAAGCCAGAAAGAACTGGCTTAGCCCAGGTGAGTCATAGGCAAGTGACTGGTGAAAGTAACTTAGTAATTGACAAGCACCGATTAAAAGGGGAGAATCTTAACTAGGGGTCACATTCTGCTGTCATAAGACCATATGTTGACCTACCTCACTGACAGCAAGGTCACCCACTTCTGAAAAGAATGGGCCATGTACTAAAGCTATAAAATCAGATACAATCTAATAGACAGGAATGGGCTTTAGTTGGAGTTTGTGTAAGGATTTATTTTCATTTCTTTCAAGTCTTGCCAATCACCCTTTATCTAATCTGGTGTAGATACATTCTGTCTCTAATACTACAGACTTTGAAAACAACAAGGAAGGATCACAGGCAACAGACACATAGCTGGGGCCCCCTGGCTTTCACTTCTCATTGCTAGATTCTAGGAACTTCATACCCAATACCTAATTTATTATAGTTTTCCTTTGGCTGAAGCAGGTAATGGGTCAGGAAGGAGATCGACTCTATTTAGAGATGGAGCTGGGGGAAATTTATTCTTTCTCTCCAGCCCCCACTTCATAGCACCCAGGGAGGTGCTGTGGGAAGCTGGGAACTTATTCCAGCAGTGAGTCAGGAAGGAAAGCTGTCTAGAGAGAGCCCTGTTGCTGAGAAGAGAACCAGAGGTGAGGTCTTCTTCTTAGCTCCCTCGCCCCGGCAGGAGTGAGCCATGCTTTACAATTTTGCTTTGGACTTTGACTGATGAAAGCCCTTCTCTATTTATGTTTGGGCCTTAAGGGGGCAGGACATTATTTATGCTAACTGATGACAAAGCCCCCCACCACACAAAGGTGTTTAAATTGTGCCTTAGTATGCAAAATAGTGTCCTGTGCCATTCAAGTCCTATCCCCTGAAGCTACAAGAAGAATCCTTACCTGGAGTATGAACAATCCCTAGCTCCTATATAGCTTTTCAGTGAGTAGCATCCAAACCCTGACCTGTTCTGGGACAATAACCCCTCCGGTTGGAAGCCCTGTGGTTAATGTAGGGACATCCTAGACATAAAAGGCAAAAGAATCCATACTTAAATTGGATGAGCATCACGGATTATTTTTGCTTGGCAGCAGATACCTGACTTATTTGAATAAAAAAATCAACCACTTTTCCAAATGAAAGTGTCTGTAAAGACCCAGTTCTTTTTTATGCTCAGCCGTAATACAGCTCGTTTTGTTTAGATGTTCCTTTGTCACTATGTCCATACGGAACGTGAACATAATCCACCGTTTCCAAACAACTGTGTTTACATTTCTCTATTCATTAACAAAGGTTCGCTCTAATTGCCAATGCAGCTTTCTCTTCCTACTCATTGTTTTTCAAGAAACAGAGCTAGCACCTAACGAACAGAGTTTAAAATAGCTACCAATTTAGTGGTACATTGCAAGTGACTTTCATGTAGCCCAAACTAAATCTCTTCAGTGGTAGGACCCAAGCAATTATATCAAGGGTGCTTATGAGGCCTGGAAGTTGTAGACAACACTGGTCTTTTCCACGCTGCACTGGTTACAGGCCCAACTTGTTAGCAATTGGAAGTGGGATCTTGACTAAACCTAGGCACCGAACTAAAGAGATATGATCTGCAGTGTTGCCAATTATTCCCATCCTGGATCTCTCCTGAGCAGGGAAAGTTAATCTGACCAAGAAGTCCTTGTAAAAGTAAAAAAAAAAAAAAAACTAAACAGAAATTTAAAGGAAATCTCATATTTTTATGTAAGCAAGAGTCAGGCTAGCTGTAACCCTAATAACACAACATTTGTAAAAGCAAAAATTGTGTTAGGCAAGTAAAAAAAAACTGGGTAATAAGTTGTTGCAACCTTAAGTTAAATAAGTATAAACTGTAAACTATAGTTTAAATTGGTTAAAAAAATAAATAAAAATAACCTATGTATAAACAAAATGCAGCTGTTCCCCATTATTGTTTATAACAAAAGGTATAAATGCTTGCTGTAATTGTTTATCTAAAAAAAACCCCTGTTTTGCTCTCTCCCTCCACGCA